TTTAACATCAGAATGAAATAGTTGATATTTCTAGGGTACACAGCGAGGAAAGGTGTTACGGTTTTTTGTGTATATATTTTATATAACTAGTGAGTTAGTCAAAATGACTTAATTCCATTTATAGTCTACCAATAGAAGGTTGACCAATCAGAAGTCGCAGAACATTGTATCCGTCGTGTATAAAGGCGGCCATCTTTTTTTTACCTACCGGAATGACCAGAGCCAACTTGTCAGGCGAACATGCCACAAGGAAGAACTACGCTCTGCTACGATATCCACTGCGAACCTGAACTACGATTTCCTACTGTCTCCGAAATATTCATTGCCAACCTCTGGATTCTATACTCGAGGACGACCGTCATGAATTTGTAACAAAAGGTGTCTTGGAAAATTTGGCACTCAAAAGGAGATATGGAAGCGGGATATAGGAAACTAGTGGTATCTACCTGACGAGTTTGAATGATAGCCGAGAGAAAAATTTGTTAAGAACTACTAAGGACAAGAAAATGTGGAGAGTCATAATCGCATACATCCTAAATGGAAAGGGCAACAGAAATACTGCGAATACCATGGACGTACCATATGAGTCACGGCGAGGTCTTAGAGAAAATGAAAACTAAATGACACTTATACACATAAAACAGAGATACAGTTGATTTTTATTGGACATGATAAAAAGGCGGTTTGGAGAATTTGACACTCACAAAACATATCAAAGATAAGAATGGACAGTGAGGGTCAGGACAGCCGAACAGATCTATTCGACTGTTGATATTTAGTAGCCCATCCCCGAGGGTAGATGTGGCACAAGGCCGAGTTTATCGTGGGTCATCCGTTGAACCCGCATAAACGGGTTCAGGTTTGTCTACATCACTGGACGAAACATTCGACAGCAGCTGCAGCTGTCACAATTTGGTAGAACAATCTGTTAGACTGTTAATATTTAACAGCCCCGCCACGAGGGAAGTGTGTAGCCGAGTTAACCGTGGGGTCTCGGAGCCCGTAATATTCCCTTTGAACCCGTATAAACGGGATCAGGGCCTGTCTACCTCTACCTCGAAATTTTTCCCTGTGGCAAGATCTCGTCCGGGTTCCTCTCTGCTCGAGTCAGAGAGTTCGACAGTAATGAACAATCTGGTTGACTGTTAATATTTAACAGCCTCCCCCACTCCACGTGTCATGTATGTGGCACAAAGCCGAGTTTAGCGTGGGTTTTCCCAGCACGTAGGCTCGGCCAAAAATATTCCCTTAGAAGCCACATCCGGGTTCCTTTCTGCCGAGGTAGAGAGTTCGACAGTTACGAACAGTCTGGTCAACTCATAATATTTAACCGTCTCCCCCACCATGAGGGATGTATGTGGCACAAGGCCGAGTTTACCGTGGGTTCTCCAAGCCCGTAGGCTCAGCCAAAAATATTCCCATAGAAACCGCATAAACGGGTTCAGGACCTGTCTACCTCTCCGGATGAAACTTTGCCCTTCGGCAAAGCCTCGTCCGGGTTCCTCTCCGCCGAGGCGGAGAGTTTGACAGTCATGAACAATCTGGTCGACTGCTCCCCCAAGGCCTTCTCTCCTACTAATCTTATAGTAGGCAGAAGATTCCAACATAAAATATTTAGAGGGAGGACAATAAAACGGATTGAGACGCGGAATTTAGTGAACCTTTCGCTGTTCTATTGCTACTACCTTGGACGAACTGCATTCCGTGGTTCAACCTGTTCTAACCTTCACGACCAGGACTATCATGGCATTTATATTGTAGCAAACCCCCCACATTCTCTCCGTATTCCATCGGCGAGAAGTTTCCCATGAACAGTTTCTTCCTTCCGAACCACTGCTCTATGGAAGCGACTCCAAAGACGATGTTTCATTGATCACTACAATCTTAACCTGTTCAAGTCTAACGTTAACCGTTATTACCCTTACAAATCCATATAAACAATAAATTAAATAACCCTCAGCCACGGATGACCCCCGGGCCTTGCACGAGGTGAACCTTACTTTTAAAAAAACTAAGATGCATATATTTTCGGTGATGTAAATCTTTTGTGGGCACGTTCATCCTTCTGTTTGATGTCTTTATTAAATCATTTTGTTTTAGAAATAGATAAATAAAAAAATACCAGTTCCCGAGTTTGTAGTTAAAATGGAAATAAACAGAACTAACATTCAAAGAAACCTAAAATAAATTCTAATAATATCCTCGAGTAAGGAAATCAAACGATTAGCACAGCGGTTGATAGCATCAAGAAAGATTGCCGACAAACCATTAAAAATACATATAAAATCCTCAGAGATTAACTTCGTTAAACATAAGGAAGGAACTCACAATAAGAATAGGCGATAAGCTTAAATAGCGCGGTCATTTTGGACTCTGGCAATATACAATGGCGTGTAAAAGTGCTGAACTGTTATGTTATATCTAATCTATATGGCAATCACCTCATGCCTTTCAGAAACTAATTGTATTAAGAGATAAGAAATGTCGTTATAAACAAAGAAAAGTGTTCAACAGCTTTGTAATATGTAATCTCCTATATATTTATCTATAAAAGGTAGGATGTGTGTGTGTGTGTGTGTGTGTGTGTGTGTGTGTGTGTGTGTGTGTGTGTGTGTGTGTAACGAATGCACGGCCGCAATTTTCGACGGATTTGCACCAAAATTTACAAGCACATGCTCCAAGTTAGCGGGAAGGCCAAGACCGACTTTGCATTTCCCAACTCCCACCGATTGTGGAAATAATCGATTTTTTCAGGCTTCTACGGCACTTTTCATGTAGTTTGCGGCCATTTTCTACTGGCCAGAGTGAGAGCCTATAGCTGGCTGCCACGAATAGACAGGAAGATTCTATTGGCCAGCGTGAGAGCCAACAGCTGACTGCCACGAATGTTAACTAGCATGCCAAAAAAATCGATAGCTGCATTCGTCACAAGTGGGAAAAATTTAAATCTGCATGGCACTTTAATCCAATTGGCTCATTCGCTTGCTTAAACTCAACGTTGATTCTGATTCCGCAGACCTGGGTTGGGTGTGTGAAAGTATTTGTTGTTAACATTCTTTTTTCATTCGGTTTTTCCAGTTACGAGTCTTTTTTTAAAGCTGATCGTTTTGTGTTCATTTTGTTTAGTTCTTTTTCGTAACAGATTTAATGTTTAGTATAGAGCTTAGAAAAAGTTCGTAGTGTGAAGTAGGCAAGAAGTAAGGCATGTAGCAACATCAGCACGGCAAGGTGCACTCCTTTAAAGGCAAGGAAGGGAAAAAATATTTTAAGTCAAGTGACAGTGATTGCTATATGAGTCGTACGATTTTTGAATCAAGCACGGGCAACGCCGGGCCATGCTGCTAATGGTAGTTAATTCTGGACAATCTCCCCATGCCTTTCAGAAACTAAGCAAAATATTAAGAGATAGGAAAGTACCTTTCGAAACAAAACAAAGCGCTGAACTGCTATGTAATATCTAATCTCCTATATGGCAGTGAATGATGGAAAATCTCATGCCTTTCAGAAACTAAGCAAAGTATTAAGAGATTGGAAAATGTCGTTAGAAACACAGAAACGCGTGCTGAACTGCTCTGTAATATCTAATCTCCTATAGGGTAGTGAATGCTGGAAAATCTGACCACAGATGAAGAGGAAACTGGAAGCAGAAGAAATCCGATTCTAGAGAAGGAAACTGTGGAAACTACGGACGGAGTGCGCAAACAATGAGGAAATTTTAAAGAAATGTGAAATAAACAGAACACTTGTGCTCAGGACGAGAGAGAGAGAGAGAGAGAGAGAGAGAGAGAGAGACCGCTGAAATTTCTCGGACACATAATGGGGAAAGTGACTTTCGAAAATTTGACACTCAGAGGTTATAGCGAAGACAGAAGGAACAGCGGGTCATCTACCTGTCCAGATTGTGTGAATGGGTTGCGTATGGGAGCGATGACAACTCATTACCAATAGACGAAAAAGGAAAGGATGCTGTGGTGGGCTAACACAGTTATATTTTATAAGAAGTCATAGTGCATAATTTCCCTGCTTTTTTTACATTATGATTTATCCTCATTTGCAAAGGAAATATGTCCATTAAAGATTTGCTCTGACCGATTTAGAGCATCGAGAGAGACACAAGTTGGCACATTGATCAATCTGTCTCTGCATAGCTTCCAGCTTCAGGCAAAAATGTCTCTTCGATCTATTTGTTGAGACTTTTTGTAGAAATCTGCAGGTTTATAAAACCAGTGTGTCATTCTTTGAGAAGTGCTTGTCTGGAACTTTTAAAGATTCTGACTGCTATTAGTCGCTAGTTTGTTGACCGCATTAAAATATTCTCTCTTGGCGTCTTTTTGCCAACGAATCAATAAACGTCGGCCCATTTTCGTACCAGAAAATTATGTGGATTAACTTGTCAGGAAAAAGATTGTACACGTGCCTGTCCGGGTGGTGGGTGCATTGATCAAACCATTTCCATAGGCTAGAGAATCCTCTCTTGTGCGTGTGTAGATAATTTTCTTAATCTGCAAGACGAAATCTGCTAGACGAAAAAAAAACAAAAATAAAAAAACAGTGTGTGGTTCACTTGGAACGGTCTGTCTTTAATGTTTAATTTTCTTTGAAGGCGCCGAAACGGAGATAAAATAAATTCGAGATCAGAAAAATAGAACAATGAGGAAGTCATTTGTATTCGTCGAAACGTACTTCCTTTCGTGCGACATATGGGAGTTCTGCAGTGGGGGTAGGGTCTTGCAACATCAGGTCATTTATGTTGCGCATAACACGTCGATAAGTTGTGACTGCTATTAAGAATAATGAAGCAAAAAAATCTCAGTTGCCAATGAATCGATAAACACGACATTTTGGTACTAGAAAATTGTGAACATTAACTAGCCAGCAAACGCGTGCCTTTACGGGTGGTGGGCAATTACCCTGCTTTGATTGTGTAGACTTTGGGTGAAAGCCACGTCTAGTTCTGTGTTATTAGTCAGCTGAAAAACTTATTTTTGGTTTCCTGACACATGTCCAAATGTTCTTGCAACACTGGACGAAGACTTCTTTCTGAAAAAGTTGTTACAATAACGAAGAATAGGCCGTGTTGGAACTATCCGTATATGTCACTGTGCCTGTTTTTTTGTTTTTTTTCCAGACACCACAATGATATATTATCTGATCTGTTCGTACGAGAGTTGTTAAGCGGTAGCCATCTAAGATACAAAATAAAAAAACAAAAAAAAAACTATAAGCTCAAATCTATTCCAACTGCTTTCTCGCGATATCCAGTTGAATAAATAACACAATTCCGGAAGCCTCCAAATTCGTTCAACAATTAAATCAAAACCGAAAACGCTTTGGAGTACACGAAATCCCTATTCAAATATTAGGTTGGTGCAAAAATAATGACGTAATAATGTCGTTTTTTGACGTATTTTAACGTCAAAGAACGACATTATTACGTCATTATTTTTGCACCAACCTAATACATTTTGCTAAAGGTTAGGACGTCTATCGGTGTTCAGATTTATGCAGGAAAACTCACCCCGTTCTCAATCTCCTACCCCCATATAGTGATTTTCCAAGCGTAAATGTGGTACAAGGCTTAAAATATGGGGCACCCAGTGAGGATCTTTCCAGTAATAAGGAGTGCCAGTGAAAAGCGATAATAACAGCAAAAATTGCAATATGAGCACTGGTAAAAATGGTTGCTGAAGACATTAGGTTTATAATACCCAGAAATTCGTATACAGATGTCCTCAAGGACACATGGCACAGTGGATGAAGGCGTTAGTTAGATCCAGTGACAGGACCCAAAGGCGGTGGAGAACTTTGAGAGAGGAATTAACAGGAGATAACTGACATCCATTAGTTGTTCTAGTTCCACGTGCCATACCTAATGGCATGTGGAAGTAGAACAGTGTACCCCAGTGAGTGAAATAAAGGGTTCAGTTCGACATTCCCAAGCACCTGAAGAAGGCCGGAGCGTACAACGTTGTGACAAAGATGAGTACAATAGTATGAATAATGTAAATAGTGTACATAATACCTGATCTCAGAAATATAGACAGATACTAAAGCGTAATTTCCTAAGCAAAAATATCACCTCAGTTCTCACAGTTCTCCAGACCGATTGCGTCCATAGGAGCACTGCATGTACCACAGACATATCAGTACAATATGTTCTAAATGTAATCCGTAGTTGTCCTATTAGGAAACAAATATTGTAAACCGAAGTGCTAAAACGAACTACATTCCTTAGTTCCACCAATTCTAGACTTCAAAGACCCACCGTCATTCCATTCATGTTTCCTTGGTGAGGAGATGCATCTTCTACTTGAAAAGCATCTTTGCTCCCAAGAGCATGCTTCCCTGATCAGTTCAACTTTAACCTTTCTAGAGTTAACCGTTATCTGACCTACATATCCCCACAATCTTTGCCTCTTACTCAGTAATCATCTACCTCGACTGGCTTTTGGGCCTTGTACAGCGCGAACGTCATTGTAAAAAGAATACCAGAGGCTGGGTATCAATAAGTGTTAGTGGCGAACGCATGGTACGCACTACAGGAGCCTGGACAGAAACGTATATGGAATAGACGTTTCGTTAAATCTGTCATATTTAGAAAATAAATAATCGTGAAATGAATAATTCATAAGAGTATAGATGTGCATTTTACATTAATTTCATCCGTGCACTTACTATTTTCCAATCGCAGGACATTCCCATGTCCCAAACTATTTCCGATATTTACACACACACACACACACATACGCATATATATATATATATATATATATATATATATATATATATATATATATGACGTCACACATTATGAAATGGACAAAGTACGACAATTATTTTAAGACATTTTTTTATGTTTATACATTTTTTATAGATACAGATATTTAAGTAAATGCTCTGTTTTTAATAAACAGTATTAAACAACATTTGCCAGACTGAATGTCTGTGAAATTTTCAGAGAAAATATGCGTCATAATGTGTGACCTGATTTGTTTACATTTGGATACGCATCGAGCAGATATGAATATACGAGAGAAAATCATGGAGTATTGAAGGTTAAAAACAGTAAAATCGACCTTGCTAGCCGAAATGCTCCTCTGTGGCTAAATGGGTAAAGCACGTCAGGTTATATGATATATATGTATCCTAGAGGATACAGGTTCGATTCCTGTCGGAGGGCGCATATTTTATATGAAAATTTCTCGGATATTCAGGCCGGTAAATGTTGTTAAGACTGTTTATTATAAACAGAAAATTTACTTAAATATTTTTTATCTATAAAAGAACGTATAAGTATAAAAAACATAAAAAATGAAATAAAATAAATTAAATAAAAAAAAAAATATATATATATATATATATATATATATATATATATATATATATATATATATATATATATATATATATATAACCACCACCATTGTACATTTTTTTTTGTCGATTTTGTCCAACTGACGACTATAGTAGCGTCAGTTGGGCAAAATCTGTAAGAAATAGACCACCATGACACAATTCAATTCACCAGAAATTTAGAAACGCCATGCTGTACTGCTTGGCATTCGCGCCTGATGTTCTATTTCAGAGTGTTTGGGGATCAATCTGAGGACAGTGCACAGGATTCGAAAAGAGTTTGATGATATATCCGGTCAACAAAAATGTGTCTGCAATGCAAGCCAACACAATACAAAATATATATATATAAGGCCGAGGGCTTTACCCTGATTAATCAGGGTAAAGCCCTCGGCCTTATATTTATTCTTTATTTTTGTCAAAAAAAGATGATGCATTTTGTTATACAGTCACCTTTGTGTCGATGTATATGTTGTTTTTACCTTTTGTATTGTGTTGGCTTGCATTGCATTTCTGTTTTCTAAGCGACTGCTTTGAGCCCTTTATTATATGCCCGTTTTTGTAACGGTTGTTTTCCCGGCCTATTAACATATTTTTGCGTTAAACACACACACACACACACACACACACACATATATATATATATATATATATATATATATATATATATGTAACTATAGGAGAAAGCGTCGTTCGATTAGACGTGCTTTAAACAGACTCAGCCACGGAGTGCATCATCAATCTAACAAAGCCAAACAGTGCGTTATAAATGCAGATGCTTCGCAGATTCTCAATAGTTCATCGTTCATCAGTTTCGTATCTGAACGTAAACAAATCAATTTCTGAAGTTGTCACAGATGTTTTAGACATTTATTAATCACAGTCATATATAATTGTTTATTTGGGCAGCAATCCCTATTTTATATATGTTTCATTGAAGACAATCAACTAAGGACTACGATTAAGCATTTTATTATATTTTTTCGTATTAGTAAAGTGATTTCTTTTGTGTATATAGAATGTATAAATATGTCTTAAAGGAAAGTAACAACACACAATTCAGTAAACAAAAAAAAAAAAAAAAACTCGTATGTGTTATACTCCTGAGGAGATATAGTTTTCGCCTAGTTATTTGCCAAGATTATGGTGTAATCTACGCATTTACCGATTTAAACGTAGAATGTGAGGATTTATTTAAAAATCTCTTTACTTCTGTAAACACATGGACACACACATATCCGTACACACACATGTCCAGGAAGCGATGGAGAAATTACTGTCAAAATGACACAAAAATTAAAATAATATTGACATTTCATTTAAGGAGATATATTTACCAAAATTACACAACAAATATCTTGAAATACTAAAGAGTAAATTTATTCAATAAAATTATCATTGGCTTCAACTACGGCCTCCATACGACTTTGGAAGCTCCTGCATCTCTTCTGGACTGTCTCCTTGTTTCAGTTGGTGAATGCTGCCATAATTCTTGCCTTCACTTCATCTTTGGTGTTAAAAAGAATTTTGTTGGTCTCTCGCTCAACTGTGCCCTACAAATAATAATCAGGTTACGGTCTGGGGTGTAATGTGGTCAGATATAATAACTGATGTGGTCGCAGAAATTGTCTGAGAGCCATGGCTGGGTTACTCTCCTTCTGCGGCATGATGCAGACTCTTGTTGCCAGATATAGTGTCTTCCAGCAGGCACCCTCTTGACCCAGGGCAGCACTACCTCCTCAACGCAATTGATGTAGGCCTGACTGATGAGTCTTTGGCCCTCATAAAAATTCGGGAGTTCTTTTCTCATCAGAAGGATCAAAATGTCATTTCCGAGCTGCCGTACCTTTGTAATCCCTAATAGACTAATCCAACCCTTTTCGAATCCACCATAAGGACCTCACATTGGTATGAAATGGTTCTTGTGCAAATGCTAAGCACTACCGCTTACCGTTCCCAAATCTCTGGCAGAGTAAATTGCGTTGTGTTCTTATAATTTTAATCTTATAAGTACACACACACATATATATATATGTGTGTGTGTGTGTGTGTGTGTGTGTGTGTGTGTGTGTATTTGTGTGTATATGCAATACTCTTCGATAAAACGAATAGAGTTCCCTCAGTCACTGCCGTGCGCTAACGGCTTAGGGGGAGATTCTGACGCCAATTCAACCGGATTTCGATCCTACCTAGAAGCAACCGGACTTCTAATCACACTGATGAGCTGTGATACAGCGAAACAATCTGCTGATCACAATATATATACATACATACATACATATATATATATATATATATATATATATACATATATATCAGTTTGCTTCTATCTATATATCCTCTATCTATCCTCCAACCTACTACCTAATTATATCTATCTATACACATAAATTAGAATCACACACACACACACACACACACACACACACACACATATATATATATATATATATATATATATATATATATATAATCCGAATTCTGAAGAATATAGCGCAAAATCAGACTGGTAATAGCACAAGAACAGTGCGTGTTTGTCAAGACACCGGACCAAGATGCTCCTGCTTTGTCCTTTGCATCTTGTGTAAATCTCTGAAACTGGTCATGCAATATCATTCATCTTCACACTCATCATTACCTTATTATCTTCTTTGATTTCTGTTGTATACACATTTCCTTCCGGATCCCAACCAGAGACCTAAAGTCAGAAATTGTTCATGACATTTTCCCCTAATCATTTTTGTAAAAAAATGAAACTAAAAAGAAAAACCTAAGATCGCCCATATTTTACATAAATAAAGC